GCATCACACCCAAGGGGGAGTCAGGGAACTTAAACTCAGGCCAAAAAGTTGGCTCTGCCCAATGTGTGATCTGCGAGTTCGTCATGCAAGAGCTGGAGCAGCTCCTCAAGGACAATGCCACTGATGTTAGATCCATCTCAGTTAAACTCACATACTGACATTCATCATTTTAGTTATGGTGCGATGTGGATATCAGAAATTCCATATTAAGCAATGGGATTTAGAATGTTTTTACCAGAACTATAATGATTTGACTGGACTGAAATGATGTTCAAGAATCCTAAATACAGGGTGTCCCAGAAGGAGGTACCCATTTTTATTTATTGTATACATCAAATGTACACAAGCTTTTGGTCAAAACTTATATGGGATGGGAAGTGTGGTCTTTGAAGTTTTATTTGATGTACAACTTGTCCACTTTCATGAACCCTTATTGATGACACTTTTTTTTTTTTCCAGAGTGAACCATGTCAGGGTACTCAAGTTTGGAGGAAAGGTGTGAGAGAGCTGTGTGGATGGAAATTAATGAAAGGATTGTGTAGAGGGAATAACAAGGCCATTCTCTCTCTTAGAGGTGCCCTCTAACATGCAAAACCAACAAATGCTTTGGCAAAAAGTTTTTAAAAAAAGGGACAGTGACAATGTCATCCCCACGGACAAGGCAACTTCCATCCACACCACCATCTTACACCTTTACTCTATACTCTTTATCTATACTCAGGTACCCTGGCACGGTTCACTCTGAAAAAATGTGTCATCAATAATGGTCCATAAAAATAGAAAAGTTATATATCAGATAAAACTGCAAAGACCACTCTTCCTATTCCATATAAGTTTTGTCCAAAATCTTGTGCATGTTTGGCATGTTCAATAAATAAAAATGGGTACCTCCTTCTGGGACATCCTGTATTTTAGTGGGAATGAAAGGTTACATGTACAGAAGAGGTTCCTATGTCATTAAGTGGATTGGATGCTCACCTGCTTTATGAATGTCTCAGGAATTTGTGCCATTTGATGTGGCCACAGTGCCACCGACTGATTATGCCTATTCCTTCATGAATGATTGGCATTGGGAAGATTCCAATTTACTTTGACTTGTCTTCTGTTTTAGCACCAGATTGAGGAGGCACTACAGCAGGTGTGCAACCTTCTCCCAAAGACAGTGCGGGGAGAATGCAATGCATTTGTAGAACAATACTATGAGTCTCTGATCCAACTCCTCGAAAGCCTGGCTCCTGAGGAGGTGTGCAGTATGCTCCAGCTCTGCATGTCGTCAGGTGAAACCATGCAAGGTAAGAGCATGTCCATCTGTGATCTGGCTTGAAGAAAAGGAAATAGCAACCATTTGCTATCAGCATTTTTTTTTATGTCATGGTTTTTGTCAATTATATTATAGAGTGCAATTTTCATAGAATACAAAGTTTTCAATGTAGAATGGCTCCATAGGGAGAAGTGGGAAGAGTTTGCCATGGGCCAAAACATTAATGCAATAAATCATGTTTCACTTGATCCTTTGTAAAAAAAAAAACAAATTCCTGTTTGAAGTGATGTCGTGAATATTATGAACAGAGGTGGTGAAAGTTCTTTAACCTGGTTACCAGGTTACTGGGAAGAGTAGCAACCAATTTAGAAAGGCAAGGCAGGGAGACAAAAATAAGTTACTGAGAGTAAAAGGCAAGGGGAAAAAATGGAATAATGCAAAAAGGTAAGTGTGGGAAGACATGAGACAGTCAGTGTTTGGGATGAAGTCCGGTAATGGATTGGAAAAATGTAATTGATGACTGACTACAAAAAGATAAAGCCCACAAGTCGCAGTGGGAAGGTATCAGCAGGACAGGATGATCAAGCACCTGAGTGGAACCTGGGAAGATTGTGATTGTGACCATGTGACTGTTGGTATGTTCAGCGATAAGGATATAGGTTTTTTTCATTCCATGCAAAGTGTGTAGGCTGAAAGATCTCAGTATTGCGTGTTTCCTCATCCTGGGGTTGTAGGAACTTGTCCTAATGAGGAGGATAGAAGGTGAGAAATGGGAACATTGATCAAATTCACCTGACTTGTAAATTAGAGGCAGTATTACCATAGACATTAAAAAGAGATCATGATTTTGAATGTATATTTCACAAGGTGAGAAGTATTGATCTCTGGATTAGACCATATCATGCACCTCAGAAACTCCTTTCTTTGCTCTTTAAACAGTCAGTCGGCAGTCAACCTTGCATTACCTGGCTTTTTGCTGACAGATTATTTGTTTGCTTTGCACCTTTTCTCAAGCTGCCTCATTTGACCCCAGTGTTGATAGAATACATTGATCTCCATCCCCCATCAGAGAGAAGATTTGCTGGTGTCTAATGACAAAGTGCCCTAATTGAACCTTTATACCCTTTGGGAAGCCAAAGAGCTCCTGGTTCAAGCTCTTGAGGAAGAGGTAGCTGGCATTTCTTGTAAAGAACACAGCAAGCATACAAGTTGAAGTTGCATGCTGTTTCAAAGGTTGTTGACTGACTGGATAGATGGAAAGAGAGGCTTGAAGTATTAATTCAATAAAAGTCAATATTCCCATTCAGAAATGAAAATAATGATTGAAGTGCGCCTTCAGAAAAACCTTTACCCCATTGGCATTGATCTATGAGACTGTTTGTAGTATGGCACTGTAGTCCATTACCAGGATGAAAATTCAAAACAAGTCTTTCAGTGAGTTGGTGGAACCTCCTCCTTCAAGCAGTTTTAAGCCTTATGCTCAAGCTTAGTTCTTAAAACATTGCATTTTGTAAAGTAATGATTTTTTTTTAAATAAAGGCTAAAATATTATATGCAAATGGTGTAATAATTCCAATGCCAATGGGTTAATAACCCAACCTCAAATGACATTCCTTTATTTTATTAAGTGTCAAAAGTTTCTGAATGGCTATGCCCCTCTGTACATTCCCCATTAGATCCTGCTAGGGGCCTCTAAATGGGCGTTTTCATTGAATCACTAGTGGTGGCTTAAAATTGATCTCTTGCCAAACATAGACGCCCTCCTCCCCTCTGCCTCTGCTCAGTCCCTAAAACACAGGATCTCTTCACACACCTGCTTAACTGGGATGGTAAACCATGGTTGCCTGGATCAAACATTTTTCCACCTCTGATTGTGGATACTGTTGCATCACTTGATCCCATCCAATCAATCTGTAATTTCAGCAGTCAGATGTATCACTGGTGCTAGTGTGGAAAGAAAAACCTCATTTTTAAAGAGCCTTCAAGCCTTAAACGAAATATTTGACCAATCATTTACTTTTTGTATGGTAGGCCTCTTTGAATGTCATTGCAAGGTAAAGTATGATTACATGTAAGATATAGCATTGAAACCATGATTTAAAAAAAATTATTAAAAAAGTTATTACTTCTTTGGGAAATTGTTTTCTTTAAGCAAATTCATAGCATAAAAACTATTTACTTCGCTATGTAGATATATGAGGAAATATATCACAGTCAATTCATGATGGTGCCATTTCCTGCATTGTCTACATCAGTAGCAGCAGCATAATTTTTTAGGTTTTCTTGTTACAATAATTAGTTGATAGCAGATTAAGAGTTGCCATTTTATTATGCCTACCTTGTATAAATAATATACAATATAATGTGTAGGAAACAAAATTTTGTATTTCTGTTATAAAAAGACATGCAAGTGATTAATTTATTCATCACCCTCTCTAAATGAATAGAATTACTAAGTTAATGGCTATGTTTCTGCCTGAACCTTGGGCAGAAGTTGGAAGGCTCATGTCTGGGACAAGGAAATGATGAGAATAGGAAAACCCTTCTATTTAGACAAGTGTGTGCATTTTGTGATGGTATTCCCTTTTGCCAGCAGTGCCCATCCAGGATTTAAAGCTGGACAAGTGTGATGGATGTCGCATGGTCATAGATTACTTGGACCGGCTCCTTGAGAACGAAGACGTGGAGAAGTATGTTGTCGATGATCTGGTCAAGGTCTGCCACATCATGCCGGCCTCTTATTCTCTCCAGGTATTGTCAGTTAAATTATGCCCTGTGTTCAGACCACATTGATGTTTTTGCAATGCAGGATGTTAATGTACAATTTTGTTCTGTTTTCTGATTAGCACTTGAAATAATGGAATAAAATTTAAATATGTATCAGAATGTCATCCTCATCCTCTTTCAGGAAAGATTCTCTCCCTCCATCTCTGTTTGCACTCTTATTAGCATTAATTTCATTTCAGGGTTAAACAGCTTGAAAAAAAGACAGTCTGGTGTTTGAAGCATGGACACTTGTCTCAATAGATTTACCTTCCTTTAATATCCTTGGCAGTGTGAGGAGCTTATTGACACCTTTGGGCCATATCTTCTGGATCTTCTTGGAGAGCTAAACGACAGCATGAAGGTTTGCCGTGCGATCGACGTCTGCCCGAAGGAATCGGGTCTCCTGCAGCTGTACGGTGGACCACGATGCTTCTGGGGATCTACCTACTGGTGCCAGTCCTTGCTCCATGCTAAATCCTGCAATGTGTGTTCCCTATCCTCTCTCATTTAGTTCCTTTTAATATTTCATCCTCATGACATGGCTTAGCTCATTAAATCTAATTAAATTAACTCTAAAGAAAGGGGCTTCTTGATCATGCAAAAGAAGCTTAACCATATCAAATTTTCTTGCTTTGGTGGGTTGTGTTTTGTTGCCCTGCCAAGATGGGCAACTTGGAAAGAAACTCATGCTAGTTATAGCTTCCCTCCCTCCCAGTCATTCTTTATCTGACCCCCCTCGTGAAAGTAATGTTTTTTACTCTTTCTTTTGCAGAAATTGGACTTCTGCAAGAACCTGTGGGCAGAGCAAGGCAAGATTTGAAGAGCCACCTCTGCCTCAGTGTCCTTTGAGGGCATTGGACGACTGTTATCTGGTGTGATACGATTTTACCTTTCAGTTAGATCATCTCGTGATTTGTGATCCCACAGCCTTTGATGTATTTTTTCATTCCCTGCCTTGCTGCAATAGGCAATGATCGTCATGTAAGAAAATCCTGATTGAAATTAAAGCTGCATTGTGCCATGGTTGTCAAGAAAGGAAAGCTTAGATGCACCTTGAACAGTTGAAACAACAGGAGACTTTATTGCAGCCAGTGCACAGGGGTACATTTGTCAATACATTCTTTTCAATAACATGGATAAATATGTAAAATTTCAACATGTAAGTTTTAGACTTGAAGGATAAATACCATGTTATATTTCAGTACGTATGGTGAGACAGCACCAAATTTTTTACTGGAGTGCATTTCAGTCAGAGCACCTTTTTTTTGTTGCAAGAACTGGATATAATGATGTGAAATGATTGTGAGGGCTGGTTTGTGAAATAACTCATTCCAAGAGTCTTCATTCTTCCCCTTCCTATTGTGCAGAAAAGATAAGCTCAATCTGAATTCCAGCGAGAGATGTGATAGATCAAAAACCTATGCGGACCGTCGGCAGGCCTCGCGTTCGTAGAGCCCGAGAATCCGTTTGGGAATGTCTCCGGGTGTTCCTGGGGACACTGGGAATGAGGTTTTTCTGAGAAAGTGTTGTTCCACAATCCACCTTGCAAGTGTTGGCGAATGTTATGCTTTGTGTCATGCAATGTAAGTCTTTTTGACAGTTCCACGGATGTCTTGTTCATTTCCATCCTTTATTCTTCACACCTATCCCCCTAGTGAAGTTTCTTCTACTGGTCTTTTTCATGTTACAACCCTTCTAGCATGCTATCAGACCAATTCTTTCTTTTCTTGCATCGCTGCTATTTCGGTAGAAATGCGAAACTGCCAGTTTTTGCACAGCATTCACACGACTCAATGGGGTGGATTAATTGTGGGTGCTACGATCGCACGACACTCATTGCAGTAGATAAAGTGTCTAATGATGGTGTCACTTTCATGCTTTTTCCAATAATAATGAGAATTAACTGCTAATTAGTGAATGTAGTGTGGGATTTTTTCCTAACATCGATACTTAGAGCACTGGGTAGGTGATTTTAGTGGAAAGACTATAAAATGCCTGAAATATTGAGAAAACTAACACTTATGCATCACCTGATCCTATTGAAGCGCCTTGCCTTGAGTGGGTATTGTCATGTTGTGGCATGAAACTCGTGCCATTCACCACAGAGGAAAATTTCCCAAGTTTGGGTTCAGGTGAACCACTTGGTGATGGTGATACAGGAATATATATATTTCCTGTATCTTCCACATGCCCAAAGGTACATGATGAATTCATGCTGTTCATGAACTCATGAAAAAGGTGATAGAATAGAATGAGATACTAAGAGAGAAAGGAACTCAGCGCTGCCAACGAGTTCTATGAATCAGAGTACTACGGTCTAATTACGACCGTGTAGGTTCTCTTGGGAACTCGTATCCACGGCCTCGTCTATGTTTAAAAATAAATGTTCTCAATCCTTGCAATGCTCGTGCAAAATACTTAGCCGGAGTCGATAGAAACGGTTCGTGAGCTTTAACGAGGAGGGGCCGTCCAGGACCGAGATTGCCCGATTTGACAGTGACGCATATTTGCTAACGACACCGATATACCACCGTGATGATCGTCCGACACCGAAGGGGTGGGGATGGGAAGGACACGGTCGACAGCGGGGACGAGAGCGAGGGGATGGAGTCGCATCAAGAGGAGGCCTGACCGGGATTGTTGGCCAGGAGCCAGTCGGCGAGCCAGGCGACCGGGTTTTCGGGTCGTTCCTTGCTCACGGCGTAGAGTCCCTTCATGAGGATGGGGTTCAAGGACTCGTCCAGGTAGTTGTCTCGACGCTCTCCCTCCAGCACCTCGTTCAACGTCACTGTCGGTATAGCGGTACTTTGAGTGCTTTTCCGTTCCGGTGCGGGGTGGGGTGGTGCAACGGTCCCGTGCAGGCAAGTGCCGAGGGGTGGTGACAACAAACATTTCAGTGATTCGTGCTTCATTTTCCTTTTTAAGACGTACACTCGGGGAAGAAAAACTGGAGTTCTCGGTTCGCGCTCTCGGTGGAGTCGGAGCCGTGCGCGGCGTTCCGCGTCCCGTCCGACCCGAACTTGGCGCGGATGCTGTCGGGTCTCTCTTCTTTCGCCACCGCCGTGTTCGTCGGCCCGAGCAGGGTTCTCCAGTGCTTCACCGCGTTCTTTCTCGCCAGGGCCATGACCACGATCGGACCGCTGGTCATGAACTCCACCAGGCCCTCGTAGAACGGCTTTCCCTCGTGTTCCGCGTAGAATGCCGCCGCCTCGTCCCGCGTCAGGGTGACTTCCTTTCTCTAAGACACCGGAAACTTAATTTTAAAAATCATTGTCGGCTACTTTTTATCGTCTAGTCGAAGATGATTGTCACATTTCGTGTGTAAATTTGATCAATTTGCGCATAAAATGTCAAATTATTGGTTTTCCTATGAGAGCGAAAAAAAATCCTTTCAGAGGATAAAAGTCGCAAACAAAAATATTCTGAGAACTCTTCAAATATTCACCTGTAATTAAATAGCGCTTAAACTCTGTTAAATGACATTTTAATTGCAAGCATTCTACGTCGTGATTGCACTGAAATACTCTAAGCACTTTACCCAACACCAATTATGAGGCGCAAACGCCTTCCATCCTTTTCTCTCTGGAGCGAATGCGATTAAAAGCCTGGGAGTGCTTCGACCGATCGACAACGATGGTTCCATGCCAACAAAAAAAGATCCTAGAGGAGTCGTTCTTCCCGCCCCCGCCCGGATCGATGGATACCCTCGACCGGTCTCATTCCGCCGATCATGCTCTCCCGAGAACCGTACTTGGTACTTCCAGTACTTGCGCGTTGATGTATGACCTCCCCACGTTGCACCGCATCCCGCTCGCGCGAATCCCCTTCGCGTCCGACCGCCCCCTCGACGTCCGACCGTAAACGTCCGTCCGCCGACGTTCCGCCGAAAGAGACATCTAGCAGTGGAAGAGGGAAGAACGGGCGGAGGTCGATTCCCGATCATCCATTTTTTACGGGGCTCCACTCGGGGTGGTGGGGGGAGGGGAGTCCTACCGTGATCTTTAATAATGCACTCGGTGATTCATACCGTTTTTCGCTTTATTCAAGGGGTGACTTGGGCGGGGATCCGCGCCGAGAGGGAGGACCGTCCGTATTTGCAAAGTATGTTCTTCCGCGAGGGCCCTTCGCCTGTCACTCCAGTTCAGGCATTTTTTTTAGCCGAGACTTATTTTCGCGAACCCGAATTTCTTAAGTTTCATTTATTCCATTTTGTAATTTTATATTAATTCACAAATATAATCTTCCACCATTAGTGATGAAGTTTCAGCAACAACTGTGCAAGATCAGCCATAATTGGCAAAAAAAATGCAATACACGCCTGGAGCAGCAAAAGTACCCCAGATTCAGTCCACGATGCAGACGGACCCTTATCGCTTGGTGACTCGCAGCCATCAGAGCGCGTTCGTCCGTTGGAGCACGATATAGGAAATGTGCGGTGAAAGAGATAAGGTTTGCATCACCCCCGATTGTGAGTTTTCCAGTCAACAGCATGCTAGACTATTTTTTTTCAATCGGATGACTAACGCACTGCTTAATTGCGAGAAATGCGTTTGAAAGCTATAAAAAAAATGAAGATGGGACGCGATTCCAGCAGAGACGAAAAAAAAAAGAGCGCGATGAAGAGAGCTACATAAGGATTCTTCGAGAAAGGCGACTCCTCGTTTCGGCCGGGAGGGAAAAAAATGGACGCAGACGAAAGAGGAAGGGAAGGAAAGAAATGGGGATTGGGAATTCGGACAGACCTGGACGATCTGGAAGCCCTGTCCGAGGATCAGCTCCTCGATTTCCTCCGCGTGGTCGAAGGCGTCCGGTTTCACGATCGCCAGAGTCTCCTCCAGCTTCCTGTGACCCTCCATCTTGTCTGGCCTGGGACCATCGGTTGCCATGGACACCGGTCGACGCGGGTGGAGGTGTCTGCGGGCCGGCGGTCCTCCGCGGGTCGTCGAGTCCTTTTATATGCGGTGGTCATGCCTGGTGCCGAATTCCGCTTTGCGGGGTTCGATCTTGACATCGGCGGGCTTTATATGTTTCCTCGGCGGCGCGTATTAGAGCAACGAAAGCTGAGAAGCGCTCTCGTACTCTGATCGTCCATTAGAAGAGACAGTGTGCAAATTCTGTTGCTCTTCGCATCCTTCCGAATAAGTGTAATAATAAGAGGAGCGATTAAGTGTAATTTCTGTTGAATTTGGTTAAAATATTACCGGACCTATCGTATGGACATTTACTTGCATGATGATGTCGATATGAGAAAGTGATATAGTCAGTTTAAACCCAAATGCACGTGGCATCAGGTATCGCACACGCATGAATGGCCAAGATTTGCTCAATTGCACGGAGTTCAAATAATAATACTGAAATTTGTAATGAAAGATCTATCATTTCCAAAAATGTAGTCATTTTGGACTTTAAATAAAGTATCGTTGGCAAAGAAAGAGAAAAGACATTGATTAGCTTCTGCAATAAACGTTTACGAAGCCCCAATCCAAGGACGCCTCGAAGGGCGTCAAGGTGCTCGATGGTAGTACTAAAAAAAACATTTTCTCCACGGAAAAATTCGGTGAAGGCATTAGAATGCATCCGTCTGAAGCCAGCCAGAGGAGACTTGAGGCAAAGAGGATGGCCAGGGTCCTGCTCCCATGAGTTGGGCGTCAATAGCGATCTTCGATTGCACCCGGCAGTGGACACCCTCATAACTGCGTGGGCCGTATTCGCCGTCTCACTCCGGAGACGAACGAGTCAGGTGGAGGTTGCCGTGGGAAGATTTACGACCGGACCGTGAGAGACGCGTCTGCAGGGTGGTTCTCACCACCCTAGGCCACGGATAGACCCTCGATTGGAGTGGAATCGACTCAACCGTGTTTTCTCAGGCGGGAGTGTGATATTCTTTTAGTACCCATCTGGCCGACAGCGTGATTGAATGGAACCCAGTGAGCAAGCACGTCGCTCTGACCCGCCTCAGACTGGAGCGAGTCGAGTCTTGGCCGTCGTATGGGTCCATGGGCCGAAAAGCGAGTCGGACTACGAAGCGTTCTTGGATGGAACCTTAGAAAGGATTCCGAGCGGCGACCTTGTTGTACTGATGGGGGACTTCAATGCACGAGTTGGGAGAGACGAAGCTACACGGAGTGGTGTGATCGGTCGGTGTGGGGAAGCCACGCTGAACGGGAGTGGCAAGAAGTTGCTGGACATTGTGCTTGCAATGACCTGACATTCATCAACACCTTCCAAGACGAGGAAATCCAAAAAATATGGGGCATAGGGGGTCTGATAGTCAGACCGGTACGGTGTGCCATCGATCGCTGATCGATTACATGATTGCTTCGGCGGACTTGTGGGGTCTTGTGATCGATACGAGGGTGTGGAATGGGCTCTATTTCGGTCTGATATTTTGACGGTGGCTGTATGAATGTGGGGAGAGGCCCATCGGGATGGCGCGCGGTAACGTCAAGCGTACTCCCTGGTGGACACCAGAGGTACGCGAGACTGTTACTGCCAAGAAGGTGGCTTACAGGGAGTACATGTTCGGTCGGTCAGATTCTTCGAGGGCATGCTGCACCGCGGTGCGCCGAACTCGTGCTCGTGGTGTGGCCAAAACGAAACAGGAGGTGTGAAAGAAATTATTCGATGAAATGGAATCGGACTACCGCACTGACACCAAAGTGTTCTGACAAATCATCCGAAGGTTACAAGGTAGGCAGTATACTCTCCGGGTCATGAAAGACCGAAACGGGATGGCGTTGACTGCCGAGGCGGATATACTTAAGTGGTAGAAGGAACACTGTGGAGCTCCTAAACGCACCAACAGTGGAAAATGACCTACCCAACCTGGAGCCTCTCGGCGCGGAGACTAGTCTCACTGTGGAGGATGTTCTGCAGGCCATCGTCAGCCCGAAGAATGGGAAATCTGATGAAATCCGGGCAGAGGCTGAAAGCAATGGGCACAGATGGGGATGATCGCCACCGGATGGGCAATGTAGAACGCTATCACATCCGGTCACTTCATTGGATAAACATTGTAGGGAAATTTGTGTCATGGAAAATTCAATCAAATTTCTACTATTTAGGTCAGTTGGAACATGCGCTGTTGTAAGAATCCTGCACAAGAAACACAGAATATATGTTTATTTGAAATCAGAGCATGTTTGTTTCCCAATCTACATAGGATAAGCATTTTATTTTGAATTAGGCTGTAATCTGAGTATATTATGCATGAGGAACACTCGAATAAGTCAGCATCAGCGGATGGCAGGCGGTTTTGATACTCAATTCTTACCACATAACGATAGGCAGGAAACATTCTTACCGCTGCGTTGCCCATACACTGTAAATAATTTGCTCTCTTACACTTTCCATATGCAAATTTCATTTCCAAATATGGATAGAAGCACATTCGCTCTTTTTTGGAAGCCAGCTGAATAACAGGCAATACATTCTTAGTTCTTGCCACTGAATAAAAAGTTGGCCCCAATTTGTTTAACTTTTTGACACGCACGGGAAAACCTCGATTGAGAATTGGCGGATTCAAAGTCAGACATATTCATGCCTAAATCTCTGAACTCCCTCATGCATTCCTCTAATGGATCAAAATCTTCCTTCAGGTTCTCGGCCAATTTTGCTTTCTCCTTTGCATCTAGAAGGTATGTGATTCTCTGTTCGAAACCAGGTTTGGCTTCTCGTTTTTCGCTCTCAATCAAGAGGTCAATGTATTCTGTGATACCCAATGGATCGGGCTTCAAGGCAATCTTGTCGAGCTTCTGCAAGCATTTGTGCGCCTCCTTGGTCAGCTTCAAGATTTTGGTCCTCTCAACGTTAAAGTCCTTGATGAGTTCGTTCAGAACACCTTTGGCATTCAGTCGTTTCCCAGATGCGTCTTCGTACTTCTTCTTCAACTCTTTATAGGTATGTTCTTCCTCTTCCTCATAGGTTTCGAAGCGATACTCGTTGTTGACGTGTTTGTGCCACACGCACTTCTTGAGACATACATTACAACATGCCGTCCCTTCTACAATGTGCATCGCAGCACATCCAGCCTTGTCTTTGTCATTTGGAATGTAACATGGATAATGGCAAGTGAAGTTGCAATTAAGGCAGTTCGTCACGTACGTTCCCGAATCTAGGTTCACCTTTTTGTGTTTTGGAACCTTGACTGTGTAATTGAAATTCTTGTTAGCATCAGCCTCTGCTTCGTGCTGTTTCAACGCCAAATATGTTTGCCTCACCCTTTCTGCCCTTGCCATAGCTAGAAATAGAAATAGAAAACAGTACCGGCTATCAGTATGTGGAATGATTCAAAGGAGAAGCGTCGGAATGTCATTTCTCACCTGTTTTAATTTGCGGCAAGATCCCCTGGAGTGCCGCCTCCAAGTGTTTCCTCTCCTTCAGGACATCCTGCGTCAGAGTCAGACTCACGGGTTTCGTCTCAAGGAAATCCTTGAAGAATTTCTCAAAGCTTGATATTCCCATTTTCCAAAAAAAGCCGTTCAAATCCTCAGCATCGGGCTCATCAGACGGTTTGACAAAAAATGCAGAATTGTTTACTTTGAAAGAGTTTTTGCACGGGATGTTGGCGTCCTTGAGGGCTACTAGAACAGGAGGCTTCTGGCCGTCCGCAAAGGTTGTCAGCACGTAGATGATTTTTTCAACATCTTTCCCAAATACGGCCAAGATCGAATCAAATATATACTTTTGAGTGTGAGTCAACCTGGCCAGGGAAGCCTGGACAACGAAGCAGATCCCATCAAGCTGATCCACTCCGATGCTCCCACCATGGGAAAAGAATTTGTGGATCTGAATCCTCAACTCATCGTCTGCCTTGATCCCCTCAGTGTCTCCAAACCCCGGGGTATCGATGACGGTCAAAGTACAGGGCAAACGGAATCCTTCCTGCTGGTGTAGGACGTAAGCCGTGATCCACTTTGTCTGGCTGTGGGCTTGAGATTTCTCTCCACTTTCGTCTCCAATCAACTTCAAACGGAAAGGATCTTCCCACTGGACTCCGTACAGGTAATTAACCATCCCATTGATGAGTGTAGTTTTTCCTGAGGGAAAGAAGTTCTTAAAAAATGACTGAATATAAACCTGCGTTGATCACGAATAAGGTGGTGAACTTTACCTGCTCCTGTGGCTCCAACAAGCATGAGCACTTTTCCCATCCCACTGGCTGGTCCTCTCTCGCCGATCTCGTAATTGGCCAATCGATTCATTCTATCTTCATTCACTTGCTTCCGGGGAAGTTCATGAATGAATCCGTCAATCCCCTGACACGTCCGCTTCATTTTTTGAGCCAGCGTCTCCTTTTCGTTCACCCTTTGTAATGCACCCTTCAAAATGGAAAATATTCACAGAAATTAAACTTTTATTAGTTACATATTTTACTAGGTCTGAACGTGAATGCGCAATTATTTTGCAATGATGGAAATATGTTCACATGTTCGTTTCATTGTGAACTAGAAAATTTTCGGATCTCAAATGAGAGCTCTTCCTTTTATGAAGAGCGCGATGCTCAAAATGCAAGTAATGCTCGAAATTTCCCGAATGAAGACACGGCATCGCTCATTCCAAAGGAAACGGTTCTGGCGTTTCTGTCAACTATTGATGAAATGTTTATCCTTTGGTAAAGACAATTTTTTTGCGGGAATGTTAGATGTTGAAGATCCCTAGCCCTGGTTTTCCAGGATATAAATATAAGGGAAATTACCAGTAATTTAGTATATCCTATAAATTATTCATATCACCATTTCAATATCAGCTCATCTGATGAACTCGGCACAAAATTATCTCATACTTTAAAAAGCAGAATATCCGGACACTGATACTCAGGTCGAAGAAGTCATGAATCTGGCATGACTCCGGCATGACATCCGGCAACACTGGAAGGCAGGACCGGAGCCATCACGCTAAGCCTAAATGAACGGCAACTAATTCCAATTTTTATGGCAAAATGGTGCACTGGAAGGAACAAAAAGGAAACTTTTCGTCACCTACAAGTAAATATTTTATTCGTTTAGTTGGTCTCTTTCCTCCGAAAAATTCCCGGGAGGGGCTACACAGGAGGTAGAAAAGAATAAAAATACCAGAATGAAATTGACATCTCCGAAAAGCGAGATTCAGTGACTTCCACAACCCTGGGGAGATAGAGCTAAACATTTGCTGGAGTGATTCTGTGTTGAGAGAGGAAGAGGCATGCCCAATTTCGTTCCTGTTGATGCTTTCAGATAGGAATACAAGACGGTTGAATTTTGTCGCCGGAAGGGGTTGAAAAAAGGTAAGAGGCGCAACCAGAGCCAATTGATACTGGAGGCTAACTCCCCAGTGGCGTAATTAGGAGGTTCGATCGAGCGCCGAATTTTGCCGCTTCCGTATTGATAAAAAGCCTTGGGATAAATATTTGCATTACTCCATTGGGTCCTAATAACGAGCCTGACTCGTGGCAGTAGCGAAGTAGCTGTTCGAGCTACATCAACGATGTGGAGTGCCATTATGAGAAGGATTGAAGGGGTTAAGCTTCTTCTCGACCTCCCGTTTCGCCGATCTAATTTCCCGCTTCAAAGACCTTGTTGCCGCCTTGTATTCTTCGTACTAGTGCGGCTATGCGGGTCTCATTTCTGTTTCACACGTTTGGTCAACGATTTAAATTTACTCGTAAATCAGATCGGCTGTCTCAGCAGTCTTTTGGATTTCTTAGGGATGCAGAGCTCCGTGGAGTTTAGGACAGCCGCCTTTAATGCCTCCCACTGCTTCTCTGCCGCCAGTTCTCGTAATCTTCCTTCCCAATCGAGACACGAAACGAGTTCTCGTAGCTCATACAAATCCGCCTTTCAACTGTTGTAGGTTTCCTTCGTTGGCCTATCCTTCCGTCTCGTTCGTTTGCTACCGCGCGTAACAACGGGATGATGATGATGAGGCCCAAAGAGAATTCGAAAACATGCTCTTTTTTTACATCTCTGAGCTGGATTCTATTTAGAACAATCTGTAGAAATCTAAAATCCGGGGAAGACACTTGAGTCCTCTCCTGAAGCAGAATGCGGAATACCGTCAATGAACCAATGACACAGGACAGTTAAAAATGTGCTTCTCCGGAGGATAAACGAATGGTCCTCGCCTACTTTTCTTGCGTGTGCAAATTCATGAGTGCTTTCAGATCGGCTTTGCATACGTGAGAGATTAAGATTAACAAGTTACATTACCAATTCACTTTTTCGTTCTGAAGACAGCAACGATGATGGCCTTAGAAATTTCCAAATGCATTTTTAATTACAGTTGGGCGCACAGATTTTAAGAAGTGCATCTGATTGATGAAATGGGCATGCTTCTAGGGATTCTGGATAATTATTATGTCAGGAACGTAGTTCTACACTACTACCGCATGTGTGCGAGAGAGCTACCTTAAAACAGAATAAAATGGCAAACTTACGTTTGTATAATTTTGATTCAAAGGGAGGGCGGAGCGATCTTGGCCATTCTGGGATGCGAATTCATCTGATTTTTTCTGTGATGAACTCCATGCCGTACTGTCCATGGGTTCTTGCTCTTCTCTTTGCTTCAGATCCGCCTTTTTCCTCTTCCGTTCCTCATTTCGCCGAGTGACTTCCTCCCAATTGCCATTACTTTTCCTAAAGAAAATCCTCCATTCTTTTTGGGTGCGTCGTTGATCTGCATGGGCGCGCTGAAGCAATTTCTTGCATTCTGAATCGTTGATGTCATGATTCAGTTCGCAATTTTCCTCACAAGTTCCCATGATGAAATTCACACAAATGTGCATTTTGATGCACTTATGCCCTTTACTGCACTGCTCGAAGTTATAATCTTCACATACATCAGGAGCAATATTGTCAAGTTTGACCAATTTCCTCAGCAACTCAAAATCAACATTCTCTAAGTTATTTTGGCTGAGAGCTTCATGATTGTGGTGTGTGTCAATGTCATGACCAAAATCACACTTTTTATCTGAGCAAAGCCCAACTAGGAATTTTGGACAAATATGCAATGATTCACAGGAATCTTCATCGCAGCCATCATCAGTCATATGGTTCTTGCATACCGACAAATTTATTCTCAACGATACCATGTCCTTCGATAGGAGAAGCCGGTCATCCATTTTGATCATTTTGCGAATTTCTTTTGGCTGAGATTTTGTGTGACGTGACAGTTCATCGACAGTCCGTTTTAAATCTTTCGCTTTTACTATGAAGTTAAAGATACGTTCTTTGACACGTTCCACCTTTCGTTGCTTCTTTTCCTGCTCTTCTTCCTCCTCCTCCCCTTCTTTTTCTTCTTCCTCCTCGTCCTCGTTTTCTTCGCTCTCATCGGATGATGAGTCATCCTTTGGGTCCATTTTATTCTCCTTCCGCTGACTAGCGTATTTTCCCTGGCCCTTGCTGGCTCCCGATTTTGCTTTCATCTTCAAAAGACATTGACAAGTTCCAAAAATGTTGCTGCAGTATTTTCTTAGGAGAGGTTGGATTGTCCAAATAAATAAATACTTTCATTACTCACTCTCAAGAATTTGGTTAAAAATATGAGATAGACCTACCAATATCTTACGTGTTCATGGGTATCGAACTGACACCCCTGCTTCCTTCATATAGGGACAGTCAATTTCGTCAATTGCGCCCTTAGGTGTCCCGACTCATTCAACAGAACTTCTATGCATAGAATGACATCCCACAAGTGTCATAGAAGACCATGAAAGACTGAAAGCTGATTCAAAAACCAAGAGCCCAATGGGAGCGATGGGAGATGTGTTTGTGAGTGCCAATCCTCACGTGATTCTAGGAAGAAACTCAGTCAAGTTCGCTCTTTGGCATTTACGATCGCAAGAGGGAAGCAGTTTCAGACTCATGCTATAGACAGAATCTAATCATTATGCAAACGGTCACGTGCAATCATGCCCACGTTTTCTTCGCTCATTTGCGCAAAAATGTTCCTATTAAGAGTTGAATCTTCAAGTTGCACTCATCTGCAACAAAAAAAACCCCACCAGACAGAACATCGGTTTCTTGAACCTTTAAAAAATATTCTTTGGACCCTTTATACATGTATTTTTAGCGCAATGCATTGCTCCCGCTAATCTCCCCTTCCTTTACAATTTTGAATGAAGTACAACATTTTTTCTGCCTTTAAACATCAACTCCAAAAACCTTCCACCTAATGGGCGTAAATATACTTTTTTCGTAGTGTTCGATGACAGATAAATGGCTTCAAGTGCATGTTATTTCTCGGTTAATTTACATTTTTCCCGAGAGTAAAGATCAGTGTGCATCAAATTTTCAACTCCATATTACTGCAGTCCTTCGCCATTAATTTTCCATAGGAAAATTTCAGAGGTCAACTTTTGATTGCAAGTGCCGCTCACATGGGAACTGACATACATCAGACGGCACGAGATGTCCATTAGATGCAGAATGAATATCTACAATTTCATCAGTGGATTAAATTTCAGTAGGATTTGCCCTTTTGCTGACTATGGCACTACGTCCCAAGTGATTTAATTTCACGTTCATTCATCATCAATGGTGAAATGCGTGTGTCGTAATCGGGACATGTTATGATGCTCTTGCTGGGAATGTCCGTCTCCTCCATTTCTGAAATAAGGTAGGTTTCACTTTGAAGGTTCACAATTTGTACTTCTCAATTCATGGGTCATTCCTTCTCAGATCGAGGAATCCAAATACCTTGCACTCACAGATTTTGTTGAAAATTTCCGGACCTGTAGAGTTCATTGAGAACTTAATTCACGTTGAATTTCAGCTTGTACGATATTGTGCATGTTGACTGACAGGAAAATTTAGGTCAGAATTAAAATCGTATCGTCCAAAGGTATGGACATGAAATTGAAATTAGATGCGTATTCTAATACCATCAGCAATCGCCTCTTCCAAAAAGATTAAGCTTTGAAAACAGTAAGAAGTATCAAGGGTAGAATCCAGGACTTTCAGAGGAAGGCTCAGAAAGGAGAGCCTTTTCTTTTGTTGTTTCTGTGGTGAGGGACAACACTTGCTCATGTAGCTTTGAGAATAAATAGTGCCTTTCTTTCTAGATGTAATGGAATTCATTCCAAGAGACCTATGTCTGTTGCGAAAATAGTGCTATGACCAAGCATTCTTTTCTTCCTCAATAAATTATCCACAAATATATTCACGAAGCAAGCTTCCCAATTCCTCTGGCATTTATTAAGTTCTTTCCGCACAGTCTCATATCATAATCTCGAAACTTTTTCGATATTTCTGCACATCCTCAGGAAGCTTTCCCGATTCTTTTCAACAGTAAAAGCCTTCTAGGTAACCGTTTCGGACGATTAGTATGACCCCATAGCCGTTATTGAAATTGGATTAATTGGCTAGTTTTCTCCATTAATCTTCATCCCACACACTTGAAATTCAAATCCACTCCATAGTAAGCCAGTTAGAGCTTGTGTACCAAATTGTAAAAATATCGCTCAACTCCTTGGTCGTACTTTTTTTTGCCGAAAAGGTAAATATAAAATATCCACTTCAATTGACGCGCAGTGTGCTTTGAGCAGGTAAGAAATCAGGAACAGTGAGAGTAAATTCGGAACAAAGGAATATCCATATCAACGGCTTCCATTCCGCCCCCTCTCCACCCTTTATTTAATAACCCTTTCGTGCATGAGTTTTTAAAGCAAAACAAAAATATGCATTTTTGTGTTTAACGTTTAACCTTTAACCGCTTTGTTTCTCGGGGGTAATTTTTGAGGAGCGCACATAGCTATGAGAAAATTGCCTGGTATTCTTTGTTCATGCTTTCATTTTGAGAATTTCTTGGCGCGAGTCAAAAGTTGAGAGAGCAGAGAATATTTTCCTATACAATTTTGCTCCATGAATATAACAGTGCAGATATAGTTTCCTTGGTCGATATTTAAAGAAAAAAACGGTGACAATCGACTTCAATCGTCCATTGCTGGGTTCTAAAGATGGAGGGACAGGTCTTTTGTGCATTTGCATGTCGGGAGGATCGCAGTCCTTTAATATCGCGTCAATAGAAAAATTATTAATAATCAGGCTGGACTAGATGAATGGGAAATATATTAGTAGTTCCTTACGCACCGTAATTAGAGACCTTCCCAACTCCTAGATTCAAGCTATCTAATACTCCGCCTAACTTGAGATGGTTGATCAATTTGTTAGGGGAAATTAACCCATACCTCTCCTAAAGTCATTCTGACTCAAGAGATTTACTTCCAGCATGAAATCATTCTTGTTTGTTTCTTTCTCTCTGCTATGTAATCCTTTCTAGGGTGGGTCTCCCATTCGTACCACTATATTTTCTCGATCTGTCCACATGGAACCCATAACGTTTCAAACGACTAATTTCAACTAAGTTTTCTGGGAAACCATCTACGCACATTGGATGCGACTCCAGGTAACCCAGAAGTTCCTGACTTGACACGATTATGGATGAAACTCTATGGAAGACATCCTTAGGAAATATACTCGGTGTCACATGTGCGGGTCTTTCCCAAAATTTTCCTGAAATATGACTAATTCTGCTGAAATTTTTGTGGTATCACTTGCTCATATTGTGTCCCCCCCATGAACATTTCCTTTTGCTATCATCTATCGTTTTCATTCTCTAGGCTTCTGAATTTGGGAACTCTTTGGGTCACCTGGTAGTCAGGATAAGCCAACTCACGATTTTCAACGGATTATGAATGAGGAGGCATTAAGAGCAGAAGCGACTTATTCTAATTTGCCAGGGACAATTTATGTTCGATGTGCACCTTACTCCGCATGGAATGGAACTCATTTCTGTGTGAACTTGCATCACCCGATATGATGCATAACATGGGATTAAGAGTCGTGAAGTAACTGCATTGATCCACAAGCTGAATAAATGCTTCTGGGAAGGCTAATGAAAACATAATGCCAGCCTCTAATGACGAGAAAGGCTTTCATAACCCCTATGACTAGTCACTCGAGACACATCAGTGGAGGGCTCTATGTGGAAGAGCCCATCACGTAGACGGATTCCGCGCGGGAAGAGCTGCCAAAATTTTTTCAAAAGTTCCTGTTTTCTTCGTGACGTCATTCCTCTATTTCCTTACACTCAAAGATGAAATTTCAAAATCATGTCACTGCACTTTCCAGCTCTGTACGTATCAAATATGAAGCTATTATATATGAAGCATGTATGAAATATGAAAAAATATGACATCCGACATTTTGTCGGATTTCTCTATGGTAAACCAGTAAAGGGTTGAAGAAGGCCCTCTACCGTAGTAGTCGAATGACCGCTAAAAAGCAACACTGTAGTGGTTATGTGCCCTTGAGTTGACTGCATGCGCAAAAAATGTCGAGGTATGTGTACCATGGCTGAAAACCCATAATCATCGCCAAACATTTTGCCTGGACACCATGCACGAAAGGAATAATGAAGGAATGTATTCATTCGGAAGCAACTTGTTCATTCGAAATTCATGTGATTTCTGAAGGAAAATTAAAAGTTGCAAAATTATTGATTTATTATTTATGTCAGCCACCGGACACTTGCGTTCTATTGGGTTTTAACATATATTCCCGCCGTTTTTATATTTTGTTTGTTTTCACTCCATATTTTTGAAGTTTGGCAAAGTGGATATAGTCTTTCGAAAGAGCGTTCTTTCCTCTACAAACTTATTGCCACCATTTTTCCGAATAACTTAATTTTACTTAACTTTCAGGCATTTGAAATGGAAATACCAGGCGGCAAGAAAACCCATTTTCGACACTTGCTTTATTTCGCGTTTCGCCGTAATCAAAAAGCAGCCGAAGCAGCTCGGGATATTTGTGCCGTTTACGGAGAGGGTGCTATAGCTGCGAGGACTGCTCGAGATTGGTTTGCCAAGCTCCAAGTTTTTGTGTAAAACCAATTGATTGAAGGTGACGGGATATCGTCATTGCATTGCTGTTCATCTTCTCGGCCAATTCTCTGCATGTTTGGCGACCGTCCTCCTTCAAAAGCACCTTCAAATGGTCTTCGTCGAACTCGGTAGGTCGCCCAGAGCGAGGCGTGTCGTCCAGGTCGAAGTTGCCATTTTTGAACTTGGCAAACCAATCTCGAGCAGTCCTCGCAGCTATAGCACCCTCTCCGTAAACGGCACAAATATCCCGAGCTGCTTCGGCTGCTTTTTGATTACGGCGAAACGCGAAATAAAGCAAGTGTCGAAAATGGGTTTTCTTGCCGCCTGGTATTTCCATTTCAAATACCTGAAAGTTAAGTAAAATTAAGTTATTCGGATAAATGGTGGCAATAAGTTTGTAGAGGAAAGAACGCTCTTTCGAATGACCATATCCACTTTGCCAAACTTCAAAAATATGGAGTGAAAACAAACAAAATATATAAACGGCGGGAATATATGTTACAACCCAATACATAGTCGCCGTATCATTTATTCCAGGTGGCTGGGTTTTTGGAAGATCGAGCGTCCACACTCTATATATGGTCATTTAACACATTCACCCCAAATGGCACAATATCCCCAATCATGACAGCGCCAATCTTGACGCACATTACGTCATCTTGAATGAACTTTTTAAACATGAAATACCTCATGCATATGAATTCAACCTTTCATCTCCCTGTCAACTTCGCTACTCGTGGCTGCATTTCCCTTCCATAAATATGGGCATGTTCTTGGCAATGTTCGAACCTTTTCTAGATAAGTGGATTTTTTAATCAATAAGGTTCCAAACCTACGTAAAAGGCTTTTTCACCTCCTTTAGTCACCATGCCTGGGTTAAAGGAAGGGAGGAAGCACGAACTATTGCAATTGAAGGCAAAAACCCATAAACTCACCTTGACTGGTTGCGCAGGAAATTTGGACATCACTTCTTGATTAGGAGGCTCGACCTGTTGAAAGGGGACAATAGAAGGGAACATTCATTAGTGGAATAAAGAATTTCTAGGATAGGATGAATAGGATAATAGGAAGTCTCATCATTAATAAATGCAGGGAAGAAGTGAAAATAGATTTATCTACTTACTTGAGAATGCAGGCTTGTCGAATATTGATGGGGATCTGTCATATGAGGCATTCCTTGGCTCCTGAATAAAGACATAGGGGAATCAAGGAAGGGAAGGTATGATTACACTGCGGAAGAATTGCTTCAGATGTGAATCCTTCGATAACGTACCAAGGTGTATTAATTTGGCCCCAATACTGTGGATCCATTGGAATTGGATATAATTGACCAGGATAGATCATTCTTTGAGGGGGAAAATGCATTTGAGGATGCGAGGTGTATGGCAAGAACTGAGGCCCATAGCTCCTGAAATCAGGCATTTGATGCCCTGAATATCCAGCTGTCAACGGATGCTGTTCTCCTTGCCTTATTTGCGTTTCTCTTTGTGGCATATTTGATTGCGTCTGGACTTGAGCCGTGCTCCGGAGCTGGTATGGGCCTGCTAGATCTGGATTTTGCTGAATATTTTCATTAAGTTCCTGCTGCTGAATCAAGCATGGTGATGCACGTAGAGGATGCTGATCAGTTGTCACGGGAATTTGATGAGATTGGGTCGCTCCGGATTGGAAGTCGATTTGGCTACCAAATATGTATGGTGAGGAGATTCGAGGAGGCTGATTAGTAGTCTGTTCATATACATTACGGATCGCTTCGAAGCCTTGTGCTTTTTGCTCGGTCATGTCTATATCAACCACAAAGGATTTACTAAACTTCAACCGTTCAGTGAGAAATAAGAAAGTTCACAAGAGTCACACCTGCATTAGATGCTGTTGGAGATCAGAAGACCATGTAAAGTTGTTTCACTTATAGCGAGTTTTTAAGACTTGTGAAAAAAAAATCACTTTGTAAATGGTTAAGAGCCTGCATGCGAGAAAATCAGAATAAAATGGGCACTTGAATAAGGCAAAACCTCCGCATTTATGAAAATTTGGACATCTTTTCTTCGTAGAATTATTGAATATCTGTGAAACTTGTTAAGATTTGGACTAAGACGCCAGGGAAAAAGCCTCGAAGATTTATGTTCCAGTGCTAACCGCCTCATGCAACATGCCACACATGTCTAACATGAACATAACAGGACCAATTAGGCACATTATTTCAAAAGATTCCATCACTCCAACTACCTTTGCTGTTTTGTGAATAATCCGCTAAATGTGACCTCAGCCAGTGAATAACCCTGTATGAATCGGTTAGGAGGCAGCACTAGACTCTTTGGCAGCTTTTGCTTGCTAATTCTATGGTTTCTTGGGCTGATACTACTCTAAGCTGTTTCTTGAAGTAATTTTTTTGAGGAAAGTCAGGCTTTCCCATGTGGATCATCAAACAATGCCTGAAATGTTACCGTGGATTAAATATAGTTCCGAGAAGCCACGAAGGCAAAACTTCATACATAAAGCTGGCAAATGCTAGCCGTGCTTTCCTCAGCGTATCTAGGTAGTCTTACGCCCATATCAATATCTAAATTAAAATTGGTGAATTTGTGAGAGGCTATGCTTAAATAGATGTATAATATGCCCGGGAATGATGTAATTACATTCGCGAAAGAGAAATCCCTGTTTTGCTGAACTATTACTTTCAAGCTTTGCTTCCTCTGCTTGGCTACAACGTGCTCCTAGTATTTCATCTATACCTCAGGTTAGTAAAGAGGACTCTGTCGACCTACTGCTTTTCCGGAAGTTGGCCTGAAAGAGGTTAGAGGGGAAACATGATATATGCACCAACACTGGAGAGGATGAGGGACTACCTTGAACCTCTTTCTTTTTCTACTAAACCGTATTATTATTTTTTGCCTAAACTTCCGAACAACTTTACCATTTATTGCTTTAAATGTTCCTAAAAATCGTTCCCAAAAAGATCTTTACAGTACTACCTGAATACATATTTAAAAAAATAGCAAAAATGCAAGTTCAATCCAAACCTGTCCAACCCTGGGGCACGATGGACTGATGGAAATGACGATGATAGGTAGATATGAACTGAACTTGGTGGATCATATACATTCTTCCTTTGAACTCGGCTCCAATAGGTTTAATGTGTCTGTCATTAGGATATTCTTATTTTTTCCTTTCAAGCGTATTTGTGTCACCAGAAGGGCTAAAAGATGCTATTTTTCACATTTCCTCACTTTTTGACCTTTTCACTCCTATCTTTTTTGGCCAAGATTTTTTTACTTCCGGATCATCAACAAATACAGAAAAAATATCTGAGCATCACATTAGAGGACGATGGTGTCCACTCCATTCTTTTTTTTTTGCGACTCCTCGATTGGCGAGATATTTAAAGACCATGAATGAAATTGAACCATCTGAAAATGCAACTAAAGATAATGTAGTAGCAGAATAACACCCACCATACTTCTCCTTATGAACATTGTTTTAAGTGTAATCTAAATACCTCGTTTCTCCAAAGTTCCAGATTACATGAGAACTAAAGCAAGTAGTGGCACATTTGCGCACAAGTGAGCTTGCTGTCATTTATGAGAGCCCTTTTTGTAGATTTCGTGACAAAATATTCAATTCTCTAAGAGCTAGAGAATAGGATAGAGAAGAGGATATGCGCCATCTTGCCCCAAGGTCCATTGTGACCCATCCTCCCCTTCGTCATGAAAAGGTCCTTGTAAGAATCCTGCAACTTTATGAAACCTGAAAAAACCATATGGTATTCCTATACTAATCCAGCAGATATGATATCTGCTTTTTGCAGCATCCTAGAATATATTGTGGGATTCTGCTGAATCCTTATGGGTCCCTATATAATTTTATGTAGCACTTGCATACTTCATGCGTATCCTATGAGATCCGATGGGCATCTTATCGGATTCCTTAAGGAATACTCCGTTTTTCAGTTTCAAAAGCATCTAGGATTAATTTCGGACTTCTATACTGTTCTTTTGGCAAGGGCTAAACAGTTTGGAATTTTTTCATTCGGAGAAATGACCAATCAGAGAATGTCCCAAGAGGAAAACTGACGGTTGGTAAACTATTTGGGAAACAGATTGTCTGGGAATTGACGAGTGTGGAATCAACAAAGAACTGATGCCATTCTTGAATGAAGGGGTTCAAAGATAGAGTGGCCTCCCTCCAAAAGTCTAACTTTTTAAAACTGGTTTAGTGCTGGTATGTCCTTTCTCCTATCATTGAAAACAGTAGTTTTTGGGACGTACTTGAAGGAAAAGCTGCTCTTTTTCTCCTTAGCACTCATTCTCACCTTTACGGCAGCCATTGGAATGGTTTCTCTTTTTGTGTGGAGCTCGTGAAAAAAATTATTCAGAGATTAACCACTTTTCCTTTCAGCTCTTTAAATAACTATTGGGGTTTCCATAGTTTTCTCCGTCAAGATGCGATACAACGCAACTCGCAGCGATATTCCAAAAAGCGCTATCAATTGCCCATTAGTTTGCCATACAACTGAATGGCCCAAGTTTTCTACTCCAAGGTCTCTGGTCCCATCCACTGCAGATGCCTATGTACTTTCCGCACAAAGCACATTCAACCTCATAGAAAGATATCGTATCAAAGGAGCTCATACATTAACCTCACACTCACGCCCACTGTAGTGGGCGGCTATGATTTACGGCAATTTTAGCCACACTATACATGCTTGGAACTTCTGCTACATGGCGCTCACACTAGAGGATTCTTTGTTGCCACCTAGCAGTGGAAATGCACGATTACGACACCTTAATATAATGCAGTAAATAATTGAACCCATAAATAATATATTCGCTTTACTTTCCTAAATTCACGCACTAGAGATCTAAGATCGATATCTTCCTTGCCAATGAAATTGCAACACCATTGCAACACCACCACAAGGGTAAACTTTGCATGGTGGTGGAGTATGGGCTACAAAGGAAATGAGTACCTTTACAGAGAAATGGCGCCAACAGAGAGCGTGAGGACTTTTACTTTACTTCAGTGTCACACTTATACATCGGCTGGAGGCCTGCATTTGCATTCATCGGAGGTCCATGCACTCAATAGCATCAGACGGAAATTATAGTGTCCCTTATGTTATCATGTAACTCGAAATGCTTGGAAATTTGAGTTGTCATAGGTGGTTTATCCTTCGTCACTCTACAGCATTTGTCGGTAACGACTTTATTGTGGGCAATCTGAAGGGCCGCTGATGTTATGCAAGCTAAAATGCAGGAGTTGGTACGACCACACAGATCAGGCCTCTTCCAGGGGATTGGAAGTCCAACTGTTTTCATGAGTTCTAATGGATTTCGTTCACAATAATCAAATAGCAGAATTTCCCAAATCAAGCTCTACCTCTTACAGGGATTTCAAAATGTCTCTTGGCATTTCATCATTATCTCAAGTCATTTAGTGGGTGGAAATGCCAAATTTTCATGAACCAACTCTCAAAAAGTGACGCGCTTGTGCAATTCTCAGTGTAATATTAGAGACGAACTCAGTCCAAGTTAATAATTTGTTTTAACGGGATCAGGGGAATTTCGTTGTGAAGGGACCTGTTTCACTGCACCGTTTTGAATCGCCATAATGGCGGAGGGTCTGGATGGGGATCACTAGATTGATTCAACGAGGGAATATTTGATAGTAGATGCCTATGCATTTCAACTTTGTGCAACCAGTTTGTGGTAAACAAAATTAGAGACTTTACTTATTACGCGTCCTTGGTATTTTTTCGTTAGTATTTAGTAATTACTCGCTGTAGGAGACTGTAAATTGGGGAAATCACATGAGCAATGGATATGAGTCCTAGCTTTCGATAAAATGAATATGACCGCTTAGGATGTGCCTAAGGAGCGGTGGCACCTTTGGGGAGTTTCTCTCTCTTAAGGCTTGCTGCAAAATGGATTTAAAATCAGTACATAGTTCTCAGGACAATGTTTCTTTCACTCAGCATTTTAAGAAAATGCTATGTTTCAACATAGGAGGGGGAATGAGAAAAAGGGATCTCTGCCCATAGGCAATACAAAAATACACAGTTGGTTTTGTGAGAGACATAATAAACCCGTGGTCAAGCTAATCTATTTCATTGAAGATTGCTCAAAGCAAGAAAGCAATTCTATGACGGAAATCATGATTCATGGAAAGTCCGCTATGCAACGATTAGTGCTTACGATACATAACACTTGCGGGTTAGTCAAAGTTGAGGACAAAGATGTTTCTGGGACGTGGATCTGCGAAACTTCTCGCTGGATGCTCATTCTGAATCAACACAAGATAGAATCAGTTCAACCCAACAATTCCGAGAACTAAAGCTTACTGGTGTCAAAGATATCTCGATTGTTCCCTGGGCAACTTCTTACAGTAGATTAACTGCGATATGTTCTTGTTTCGATTAATGATAAACGCTCTTTCCAACTATGAAACAGCTAGCCAATCAGGTAATCAGGGAGAGTGGACAGTCAGGCGTCTTTCTTCTTGTAACAGAAAAAAGGGGACGTTCAACGGGATAAACAAACTACCTGATGTCTTGTAGTCGGTGACTGGCAAGCATGGTGAATAATACTACTAATACAGGTACGTGATACGTGATTTTTATGTGGTCAAAACTAACGATTTCATAAATATTTGGCTATGCTTAGATAATTATAGGACAGCCTAAGACATAGATGCGTAGGATAAATGAGAAATTAATACGAATTAATGAATGAACTTCTACAGTAAGCTCTTAGTGATATGTAAAGAAGTTGTTCTGCGAATGTTCACAATTTTTAAGGTCCTGTAATGAATATGTGGCTAGGCATACATCTCAAGCACTTTTACCACGTCATTCTCGAAGAACATGCTGGAGAGTACAAATACCTATTTTCCAATGAATACGTGCGGCGGACGGAATTGCACGATCGATGGTGAGTTTCTGATTGAAGTTCCTGATTCTTCCCATCTTGTTGCATTAAAAACTGCATAGGCATTCCATCGTGATTGTCACCATCTCCTCCAACCAGCAGGCCCTGCCCATTTGACAGTAATACTTTTCATGATCATATTCTTTCCATACCATGGAAATATTGTAAGAAAAATCAGAAATTAAGATATCTGTGTTATAGGATCTTGCTTAAAAAACTTGGCAGTCACCAACGCAGTATCATGGCAATGTTTCAAGAGTAAAAATGTGTCGATGTTACGTTATATTGAGAAATATCAGGATTCCGCATGCATACATAACGACCTTACATTCATAATGACCTGCATATACTATCTTTATGACAGGTTTTTGTTTGGTGAACTCCTCCCAGGTTTCTCAACCAATTTTCCATCATCGATAGCTCCATCGATTGATGATTTTCTTTAGATGTGAAAACTGATTCAATTTTTTTTCAGAGTTGACCATTCATCACAATTAGCTTGAAACGCCATCTCGGTCATTCGAGTCCAGAGCCGGGGTGGGCAATATGGTTGCCCATTGCCACATGTGGCAATTTAGGAAAAATGTGTGGCAATTTCGTCTTATAACTTACCTAACATTTTTTATAATAATCCCTTAAAATTTTTAATTACATTTAGCTGCACTACAAGTGATTAGCAGAATTTTTCAGTTGCTTTTTTCCCCCAACACTTTTATACCTACATCTTGTAAAAAAGAAAGGTTTAAGAAAATTCCAAAAAATAATGACAGCTTGTTCAACTTCAATGGATCCTTTTTGCTATGCATGCCGCCAATGCCGAAAAATCTCTCAGTGAAATTTCTGGCATTGAAATCCGGTGTTTCCTCATATGTAACACAGGCCTACAGTACAATGGAAGCTAATGACGCCTGTTTCCAGATACTTTGTGGATACCTCCTATTGAGGTATTTTTTATGGTAATAATTCCTGCTTTCTGACTCATCCCTTTGACATGAATTTGGCAGCAGAGCTGAGATGTGCGTTGCGTTTAAATTTTTGCGTCGAAGTTTCTCGAATTGGTGAAAGAAAAAGATAGCCAAATTTCTCATTGATCCTTCTCAATAAAATTGAGGCAAAATTATTTGTAATTGATCCCTCAATGTCATTGGAATCGTGAAACAAATTTATTTCACACAAACTATGAGTTTTATTCATAGCATGGCAATTTTAATGGTCGAGTTGCCACACATGTTGCAAGAAAAAAATCCTATAGCCCACCCCGGCTCTAGAGTCTAGATGACTGCATTAGGACTACTGTATAGCACCAGGTTTTAAATTTTCACTTCATATCAAAGCCCACATACCTTCTCAGTTGTACTGAGAAGTGTTCTTAATTCTCATCACCCGTAAGTCTCTTATTTCCTGTAGTTTTTTCATCACCACTGTCTTACCACCCTTTGTTCCTTGATCAAAAACAACATTTTTACTGAGTAGATAGAGATCTAGTTTTTATTTCTGAGGGACTAACTGCTAACCTCGGTATACGAACGAAACACGAGCATTGTGTGTGTTACAAAGTGTGCTCAATCATGATTCATTTTAATCAAGAAAAACATTTTCATTAGCAATCGCCACCTTAGTCGAAAGCAACCTATCTACACACCTTGTGTACATGGGTTTTAAATTGGTTCGCTACATCGTATGCACTATAATTATAGTTTCCGGCCTTCTCTGCGGAAAATTGGAATCTCAATCTTTGCTTTATATTCATAATGTACTCCGTTTTAAAGAATCAGCAGTCTTAGGGCAATCCATTGCATTGTTAGGATGTCAGTCCAAGTGCTGTGAGACAAGACAGTCCCAGAATCCTCCGTAAAAATTCAGATGTACAACCTTTTACGCGTTATGGCGAAAGCTCCATCTTATGTTGATCTTGTGCTTAGCATCGGTGGGCAGATATTCTTTTCTCCAATTTTATTTATATTTATTGGATGGGTGCCATTTTTCTTTGAAAATTAAAATGAACCTTTTTTTCTTCAAGAATACGTGACTTTTTTTTTTACAATCCACAAATCCATATTATAATTCTCCAAAGAAAGAAACGTACTCGATATAATAATCTGCAAATATATTGGACAAAGGCACCTTCCTTTCTGAAGTTACGATATGCGTGAGATTTGGGATTATTTATACAGATATTGCGCTTGCTACCTTGAAGTCGCGCCATGATTATGGTCATCAGTCCTTGAAATGGAGTCAGTTAATTGAATGCTTCTTTTTCCATGTTTTGAATTCTAAATAATACTGCATTGCATTTAACCTCCTTTTTTTTCTATTCTCCCCCCAGCGAAATATTCCTCAGTGATTGAGGTCTACATAGCATTTACCCGATAAACTGCCTCATATACCTACAATGTTAAAATTTTCAATATGAAAAACAGCCAGAGCCGATGCATGAACTCCGTTCATCTGTGCTGCTCTCCATCCCTCCTCTATTAAATCAAGAACTCTAAATTGCTTCATGTTGAATATCAACTATCATGCATGGAATAGGAGGGGACTTGTGATAATTCCAAATCGGATTATAAACGATTCGATCTTGTTCAGGTTACCAGGAAAAAATTTACAGTCAACCCACAAAACTAATAATCCCTGACAAAATTGTCAGTCTGGTCATGACAAAATTTGCGAGTTTCACAATCGATTGGGGCTTGGGGCAGTGGTGCAAGAGATGTTGACAAGTGGCCTGACAAGTGACAATATAATATAAGCAACCTAGAATAAACTCACACGTGCGTTTCTTGCATGGGGGAAGTGCCCGTAAGAATCGCTTGACGGTCCTAAGGTGAATGCATCTGATGGGGGACTGTCTATTTGCGACTGTGGTGATTTTTCTTCTTGTTCTTCCGTCAACATTAGATCATCTAGGCTTATTTCGCATTTTTTCATCAGGAAAATTCTCAGTTCTTTCCTGCTGCGGTCTAGTTTCACATTGGCCCTCTCGAGCAAATTTTTGCACTGAGGATCTAAAATGTCATGGTTCAGGTTGCATCCGCTACAAATTCCCTTCATGTATCCAGCACAAATGTGCATCTCCTCGCAATCGAACGCACTACTGCAGGATTCCCCGTTGTATTTACCACAGATATAGGGAACCATTGTGTCAAATGGCTTGAGCAGCTTCTTCAAAACCTGAGAATCCACGTTCCTCAAATTGTGCTGACTGAGCACCCTGCGGTTATGCTTTGTGTTAAATGTATGACCATCTTCACAATTAACATCCTTGCAAGTGTCAACAAGATATTTGACGCAAATATGCAAGGACTGGCATTGTTCTACATCACAGCTCTGGCAAGTCAAATATTCATTGCATATTGACAGACCGGTATCCAGTGAAAATATCTGATCTGAAAGGAAGAACCTGTCATCTTCATCGATGATTTTGTGGAGCGCAGCAGGTGAGATTTTCAAAGTACGCCATAAATCATCAAAATTTAGTTGCAAGTTTGGGGTCTCGGCAAAGGCATGAAAGAGCCTTTGTTTAAGGATTTCCTTTTGGGTCTCTCCCTCCTGCTCCTCTTTCTGCAATTTGTCCTCTTCCTGATTTCTGCTTCCTTTTTCCCGGAGTCTCCTTGAAGGATCCTTATAGGATCCAGAGGTTTCCTCTCCCGTCACCAACGTAGATCTTATCCTGTGGTACGTCGAGTCGCTGGTTGGCTTCCTCCTTTCCTTCTCTTTCTCCTCCTCCTCCGTTTCCTCCTTGAATTGGTTGACTTTCACATTGTGCTCCCGCTTTCGTGGAAATATTGTTAATAAACATGCTTGGTCCCGGTTATAGCAAGCGATTTTATCTACATGTGAACCTTTGCATGCAGAAAACTTCCAGAATATTCAGAGACACCGTAGTCTTTCAATTCCAAGTCTTGACATCATCACGTCCTAATTACAGCTGACGTTCATGCAACAAATTTACACCCACTGGAAGACAAGCACAGACTTAGAGGGAGCCGTTTTCAGGGTGATACTTGATAAAATAAAAATGTCAGCTTAGAAGGGGTTATAAAAACATGAATATTAAGATGTCAACTTTAGGGCAAAATATGCTCAACATCACTTGCTTTCATATGTTAATGTCAACTTCGCATAATGTGAATAGAAAAATAAGGTAAAAAGTAGCCTGAAAACCAGATCCAAGCAATGGTATAAGCGGTGCAGATGCCATTGTTCCCAATTCTTGCAACATTCACACAGATAAAGCAGCGACGCTGCAAGGATAGCTTCCAGAAGTAAAGTAAATGGAGAAATAGACCGGAAACTCTAGAAGTAAAATTAGATATTTCTGCATGCATGCTTCGATGGGGAGGAATGTTGGGCGATAATGAGATTGATGAGAAGATGCGCATATTTATTTTGAGTCCTCCCCAAACACCCAAAACCTTCAAATGACTCGAATACTGGATCAGAAATGTCTAAGTGCGGGGTAGGATGAAAAACTCATATTCGCTTGCTTAGCCTTAATTTCAATTCAGTCTAAGGACCAAGGTTTAAGATCCCCTCTTTAGCGATTGAAAATTTCAAAACATACGATAACAAAAGAAAAGCCAACAGTGTGACAAATTCTGGTAGAAACAAAATAGAAAACTTGGGAAGTAACTTTATTTTATAGAATGCGTAACTATTAATCATTGAAGAATACTTACTGTTGCATGACTCTTCTTTCGAACGTAACTTTGAACAGTTCTCAATTGCTGTTCTTGTATTGCTATTCTTGCCCTGTCGATAATGTTTGAATATTCAATCTCCCCTTTTTGCTTATTACATAAGACAAAATATACGAGGTATATTCAGTGTCACTGGAAATATCCCAATCCCAAACTCTTACCTTTTCAGTTTCGGTTTTATTGATATTGAGAATGTGGTGGTGCAAGTATGCACCAGCATAGGATCATCATTTGTGGGGATAATTGTCTAATCAATTAGTCCAGTAGTTCAATGTTGAAGCAGAACTACAGCTACAAGAACTTCAAGAACTATCAGAAGTTTGTTCTCTCTCGAGATATTATTCCTATTCACTAACAAACCTGAACCCAAAGGTACACAGACATTAAAAGGTAATTGAGATGAAAATTATTGCGCAAGATTGCATGAGACAAGAAAGCAACACCATAGTTAAGAAGGGGGAATTCATGGAAGGAATGTATTGAAGTCCTGAGCAATATGAAAAATGAATTGCTTTCTACCAAACGAACAGGTACTACCCTCGTAATAAAAATACATGACTTTCATTACTATTTACCTGAGATTGAAGCTCCCTTATAGGTGTTCCACCTTCAGGTTCTTTTCCATTACTACAGATAGCCCCTTGGATGGATCCAGGATGGTTGCCATTTTCCACTGATTTTCTTTCATTCTGGGATTCAGCTGAACTCGTTGCGCTTATATCAAGATGATCAGTCTGCCCATTCTTCACCACGCCTCCTTTCGCCATTCCTTCCCGAATTTCCTTGAGAATTCTAACCCTTTCCATCCAGTCAAGTTTCCTCTGGCGCTCCACGAATGAAATCAGGAGGCCCACATAATCGTTGATTGACATTATGCTTGGCTTCAATGCGATTTTATCCAGTTGGCAGATTTTGTCATGTGCCTCCCATATTAGGTTCCTAATCTCCGATTGGCAGTCATTGTACCTAGATTGTAAAGCTCTCATCAAGGATTCTGCATCGTTTCGACCTTTTAAGGCCACAAGGTAAGATTGTTTCATGTCATCCAGTGTCATTTCTTTCGTCACAACAAATGACTCAAATCGTTCTTCACTATTTATATGTTTTGAGTGATGGCACTTGGAAGGACATACGTCGCAACAGCCAGTTGCTGGCCTCATGACATCGCATTCTTCTGGGCGATTCCGTACTGTGCATGGATAGTGGCATGTGATTTCACATATCGGACATACTGTGGCGCACTCCCACTCATTCAATTTGATCAGACGTTGTTTCGTTACGTGCAGTTGGTAAGTGTAGTTCCTATTGGCTATTACTTCAGTTTGTCTCTGCTCCAGGACAGCTTTTTCTTTTTCGATCTCAGTCAGTGTGTTTAGTGCTGGAAATAAAAATATAATAACTCGCCATAAAGCCAGCTAAGAGCAGCGCAAAGTAACATCTGCAAGGTAGCTGTGTCAAAACTCACTATTATAGTGGGGCTTTGGATTTGAACAGCATTAGAAAAAGTGTCGAAAAAGATCGAGAACTAAGGTACCTTTATGACGTCCTACAACCTATTGCAATTAATGGATAAGAAGCTGCGAATCTGCTGCTGGTAGCATGAAAAGCGTAGCGGGAGATATTTTCTCAATAAATTGGAATAAGTCAACTTGATATTACTAGGCGTTCAGCATATACAAAGTTTTTCATCTTATAACATCCACTGAAAATTGATCGTCCTCTTCTTCCTTCAAAGACTTCCCTCACTCGATCCTTCAAAACATACAGGGTGTCTGAAAAGTCACTCCCTATTTTAAAATTGTTATTGCTCCTAAACCAAAGGAGATATTGAAAATTTTCTTTAACTGAATTGAAGCTTATTTCTTACCGTTTCATTTATAACAAAATTGAAAAGCTTTATTACAAAGGTAAAATTCAACATAGGCTCCAGCATTCTCCACACACTTCTGTAACCGTACCGGTACATTTTCAAAAGAATTTTAAAATTGCTATTGCTCCTAAACTAAAGGAGATATTGTAACCGTCCTTTCACTGTTTTAAGCTTTATCATTACCATTTCTATTATAAGTGAATAATGGCTGAAAAATTAAGCATAGAAGAAAGAACGACTTAATTTAATAGGTCGTCGAGGGCCAACGGAATGGCCTGCTCGAAGTCCAGATTTAACTCCGTGCGACTTCTTTCTGTGGGGCTGGGCGAAAGAATTAGTTTAAAAATCATTACCAATGACCATTGATGAACTTGAAAACAAAATTTGTGATATTCTAGGCAATGCACCAGGCAACTTCTTGAGAAAATCTGTTGAAAATGTGGCAAGGTACTGATGCCCTTGATATATCATGGGCGGAATCATTCCAGATTCCAGTGGGGTAGCTTAGTATCATGGTATCTGAGTGAGGAGCGGTTGGGGGAACCGTCCGTCACTCGTACGTATGTACGTACGAGTGCGTACATGCACTCCTTTTCTCCCCACGGGTTCGTTCGCCTATGAACCCATGGACTGCAAGAGATCCCTCTCAGGAATCATTCATCGTATGGAGGGGTGCAATAACTTGTATCCACTAGATCCTTAGCAGGTGAGCAATTCGCTCTGTACATCCTTGGAGTTTAAATGAGATATCCACACCATTTTGGAGTTTGAATAAGTGACATTTACGAAATTTTATCATAAAAAGATCCCTAAATGTGGTGGGAGAAAAATAAAAACTGTCGTTACTTCAAATATACCCCTCCTTCATACACATCGATGAAGCCAGCAACTTGCATTAATTTTTTTTTAACTTCACAGAGAAAAGTTAAATGCTAAAGTCGAACTTCTTCATTTTTGGGCATCGAGTATTTTCCGATGTGGAGAAGTACTTATGGTATTATGAATAGTTTCATCAAAAAAGTGTGCTTGAGATCTTTCCAACGATACATTCTTTCTTCGAAAAGAAAATATCTTAGATTGCTAAAATTTACATTTAGTGAAAATTCTCTTTTCCTTCAAATGGCAGAATGAAGTGCGATATATCGCAGTTTATCCAGCGACTGCTTTCCACCTTAGGCCAAACAGAGGCAGTATCATGTTTTCTGGCAGGTGTAATTGACCTTGTATTCCTTTCATGATTCTCATTAGCTATTCATGTTTTTTCATATTTCATTATTTTCTGCTCACTTTCTCGCACTCTAACTTCTCATTCCTACTGTATCATTCTTAGGGTTCTTAAACCCACCTCTAAAAAAATCCTCGAACTCGTGAGTTCTTAAGTCAATTTCTGGCGAAACCGTTTAAAATTAGACGTTTACAATGGTTTAAAATCGAAAAACCGGAAAACCGTTTAAAATCGAATCAGACTGATGGTCTAATTTTAACATAAAATTGGCATTGTTGCAAGAATGTCAAGTTCTCCCTTCATCCTTTGCAATAGGTTTCACCAATGAAAGGAACTAACTTACCATTATCAATACGATTCTGGATTCCTTGAATGATGGCTTCAAGGGCGTCTCTTTCTCTCAGAACTTCCTTGCTCATTTGAAGACTTACTGACTTGGACTGTTGCAGTTCAGCAAAGAAGTTTTGCATGTTTTTCCTTCCGAGTTTCCACATTATGACGTCGATTTCACTTTCTTCTTCAGATGCAGTTTCTTCATTTGATGCGAATAAGGCCGAATTATTCAAGCAAAAGAAGCTGACATACGGTATGCTTCCTTCCTTTACAGCTTCGAGAACAGGTGGCTTGTTGTTGTCAGCAAATGTGATCATCAAGTAGATGTTGTTGATGACATCCTTTCCAAAAGTAGAAAGGACGGAGTCGAAGATGTACTTTTCCGTGGGAGTCAATCTTCCGGCAGATGCTTGAAGTACGAGACCGATTCCATCCACATGATCCAGGCCTTTTGGTTGTCTCTCAGAGAAGAACTTCTGCAGCTGAGACATGATGCTTTTATCTCCCACTAATCCCTTTGTGTCTCCGAAGCCAGGTGTGTCAACTATCGTCAGGTGATATGAAGCTCGACATCCTTGCTGCCAGGGTAATGTGTAGGCCGTGATCCAGGATGTCTGACTCTGGGATTGGGATAGCCCTGCATCTTCGGTGTCGGAAATCAACACCAGGCGAAATGGATCCTCCCACACTACGCCATAGAAGTGATTAACAATAGCGTTCACCAAGGTACTTTTGCCTGTAAAAAAATCAATTAACTAGTAATTTTATACATTTTCAGCTCAAATATTAAAACCATTCATTTAAAGACAACATTTTTGCAAGCAGGTCTAAAGCAAACCTCCCATATGTCGGCTGGTCTGCGTTATATCTTGTCTTTCACCTTTACTTGGCCATAGTAGTTTCGGTCACACCCTCACATCATATTATAATTTCTGACAAGCCAATTTGTCAAATTGTCGATATATGATGATTTTGGGATGTATTCAAATAGGTAACAATAGATCATAAGAATTTGAAATCAACCATTCAGGACGCATACAGAGCTTAAACATCAGTTGCGGGTCAAGCCGACCGCACCCCTTGACCACGTGTGGTTATTGCCTGATTTATTGAATTAGAATACGGACGAACCCTGAAGTTAGCTCAAGTATAAATATGCATTCCTGCACAGGTCAATGGCTTCTATAACGCATGCTTCAAAGCAGAACAATGAAAAGGCTGTTAAGATACCTCACCTGCTCCAGTGGCCCCGAGCAAAATTAGGACCTTCTCCTTCCTGTTCTCGACAAGGTTGAAAGGTAGCATCTGCTTTACTGTGCGACTCTTTTCATCCCTGTATAGTTCCTCCGTCTGGATTTGATATAGAGAAGGTTTATCTTGAAGAATACAGGTACCACTTTGCCGCAGAAGCTCCGCAAATGTTGCACGATTCTCTTGCTTAGGAAAAGCCACAACAGAGATACGACTATCATTGCATTCAGGATTTCCAATTGGTTTTCCGGGAGAGCGTTGGTCCAGGTTCTCTGCCCGCGGCTGGGTAATATGGAAGTCGAAGTGGACGGTTGGACTACAGGGTCCACATCCGAGACGACTGACAGCACTAATCTGTTTCAAAGACCGATTTTGAATGAAGTGAAAATGCAGTACATGAACATTAAAAAGAGATTTAAATTTAAGAACTGACTTTGAATGAATATGTTTCCCCAACTGGAAGACCGTGAATTCTGGCTGGTGAGGAAGCTGCTTTTATCCATTTCCATTTCTCTGGTTGGTCTCTGCTAGCTCTGAACCAGATACAGAACTCTTTGATGAAGCTTTCTCCGATGGCAGGTTTGGTCCAATAAACTTTGATGGTTGTTCCATCTGACGATTTCTGTACCTGAACACCTGACGGTTCTGCTGGTGGGGCAAACTCTTGCTGATAACCTTCTGCTTCCCTGAGAATGATCTTGAAACTGTGACCTTCGATTTCGTATGGATGAACCTCACATGCGATGAATTCCATGTCTTTACGTCTCGGTTCTTGGGAGTAAGGATTTTGAGAGTAAGAAATGAAAAGTCGCTGAGCTTCCACCATTTGCCATTGGTATCGATCGTTGGACTGGCTCAATGTAGTCAAGGATTCATGAGGTGGCAGATATCTTATATCCTGAACCTTCGTCAGAAAATTGTTCAAGCTGTCAATGAACAGATCCTTTGAATGAATGGATGCGTAAAGGAAGAACAGAACTGCCCCAGATCCATTTCGAGGTAGTGAGGATGAAAACTTCCCAAGTTTGATTTCAGCCTTTTTAAATATATCCACAAATTGCTTGAAATTCATGGCTTCAGCCTCGATTTTTTTCAGCCACTGATGGAGATTGGCGGGTTGGAATGGCGATGTATTCATCCAGGGAGGTGGTTTTCCCATGTTGTGACGTAGGAGGATATTCAAGAACTGATCGATGCAGCTCTTGAAAGCCATAATTCGCTCTACGATGGTCTCTGAAATACCGCTGACATTGTCTTGGCACCTCCTTGCAGCTTCCAAGATGTTCATCAACTCCTTACGTAGATTCTCCATTTCCTTTTCGGCAAAAAAGGCATTTCAGAACAGGCTTGGGATTACTCACATGTTACACGTACATTATTCCTTTAACCCCTTAACTGGTAAGTTTTCGATTTTAGAGGCTGCGTTCACACGAGTATACTTCGGCGTGACAGATAAAGAAAGATAAAAATACTAAATGAGGGACAGATGTTTGGTGCTGTAGTAGCAAGCAGAAACATGTGATCAGCAAGTGACGGTAATAAAAAGTCATGTCCCTAATAACACCTAGCGGCAAAACTCGGTTCAGTGCAATCAATTCACGCTCTCTGATGCACAAAGTATAGAAACCTGGGCAGGAAACAGCTGTGAAACCATTAAACGATTCATGGATCTGTACTGATCTCCATTAGCGACGTATTTAATTCTGTGAATACCTGATCAAGAGAGTACATGCACAACACGTCGACTCTTTATGCTGATATACAGTCGTTGCCCAAATCATCAAATTAAAAAATATCATGTATACAATAACTGCAATTTAACGTTTCCAGCAAGTCCGCGTATAGCTTCTGTTACATGGGACAGATAGGATGCAGTCTGTACACGAATATATGATTCTGACAGATGGTGAGATGTCATTCTTTCGTTTAGGTGCAGCCATTTGCTACTCTATCATATCTTTTTGAGAGGCAGGCATACAGGAAAACCACTCTTATTCTCCTCAAAATTTAGAGTTTCTTCTCTGCACATGGCTTGCTTGCTTCCCTTCGTTTCATTTCAGGAGAAATTGACAGGCACGTAAATACAGTAGTATGACTGAAGGAAAAAAATCATGAAACAATTGTGAACGCTGGCACAACTTCCAATTGGGTTGGGATTCACTGGAGAAAGCTATTAAAGCTAAAATTCACTAGATATCCATGATATGGAGAGGTGGGGCAAAAGTAACAAAGGGTAATTGAAACAATGCTTCATATTTGAGGAAGTACATTAGATACAATCGCTTAATTTTGTGCCCATAACAGACCACTCTTCATTCTCCATATCAAGTATTTTGAGCTTCTCTGTGATTGGCCAAGAACGTGTTTAATTCAACTCTGCCCACCGTGGTAAGAAAATTAGGAATCATATTTTTTTCTCTTCTGTTTTCTGTCAATTTCATTTTTCATCCCAACTGATGATGTTAAAATGTAAAAAAAGTTACTCTTGCTACCTGATCTAAATATCAACCTTCTGATCTCAAAATTCGGGCTAGGGGCCTTATTACACCATTTGCTGAGTCCAATGTGAATTTTGCCCCATGGAAATTTGGACCGTGGGCAATTGTAACAACCTAGTTTGGGGCGAAAGTAACACCGCACATACAACATTTTAAGTGCTGGATAATTTTGGTATATGAGACTATTTGTGAAAAAAATGCATGCATGGCTGAGTATTGTGCATGGGGATTCTTACAGACTTAATGATAGTTCGCGCTTTCAAAAAGAAAACTGAGAAGGGGGCTGGGGAGACGCTACTCCCGTGGAAACCTTGCGAATGCTGTAAATGTAAATAATAATCCTTTAATGAACAGAAAAATTACGTCTAAATGTTATGGAGTTCTGAGAGCACTCTCCAGATGCTCTTGTCAAAGCATCTATATATATAACTAGCGAGTTTGTTTGCCCGAAGGGCAAACAAACTCGCTGTGGTCGAGCCTTCGGCTCTCCATTACCTTGGATTGCGATTAATTAATTTATTCTTTGCGAAATGGCAAACACTTATTTAAAGTACGTCCCATTGGAATACGTGACATATGGGGACGAAAGTCTTCATTTTTATCAAAATCATTACCTCTATGACTTCCAGAGCCTAACTTGAAATCTTTTCATGTGTCCCTTTTTGTAAGGGTGGAGAATACATTATGCAATACTTCCCTACTATAATCTACGCTCATGAGGCATATTTCAAAAATAGGATTTTTCCCGTACTCAGCCATAAAACAGGCACTTCTGAGTGAATTTTAAATTTTTTGTCTCTGTTTCGTTGGATCGAAAAATAATTCACGAAAATAGAACTTAAAAAAAAGTTTCCTGATTTTTTTAAACGAATATTTATTTTTATTCTGAAATATAAACTCAGGGAACTCCATGCCACCCAGTTTCAGCCTTATACGTTTCCCCTTTTTGCTGGCGGTAAAAAATATATTTGGAAAAGCAACCCACCCAAAAGCTGTGCTCTGGGGAGACGCTCAGCAAAAGTTAAATTTTTCCTTAAATCAACATCATATCCGTTATGCGTGCGCCAGCTGCTATTTTTCTATTTCTGCCTGATTCGCTAGGATATTTAAAATTCTTTAAAAACGTTACGTCCCCAAGAAATATGCCCCCTAAAAATATTTTTGAAATTTGACATTTGACATTTGAGCTGAGTGACCAGTCACGTTCTTGCCATGTTACAGCTTTCCATGGGTCTCCATTTGATTGAAGCAAAGAGAAGTATTTGGAAATATGTTCCCCAAAAAGGTGTGCCCCTATAGCGTGTATCACCAAAGTGGAATTTTTCCTGAACTCAAGATTTGAATAGCTACTTATGTCAGTCAGTCAGCTGCTCACGATCATCTATATATAATACTAGCGAGTTTGTTTGCCCGAAGGGCAAACAAACTCGCTATGGTCGCGCCTTCGGCGCTCTAATACCGTGGATAGTGATTAATTCATTTATTCTTTGCGAAATGGGAAGCACATATGTAAAGTACGTCCCCATTGAAATACGTGACAGATGGGGACGAAAGTCTTGATTTTTATCAAAACCATTACTTCGATGATNTCAGTCAGTCAGTCAGTCACGATCGTCTATATATATTAGATACCAACCTGTCACGCTTATTCCCAGGGAACTGTATGTGACACAGAAATGAGCCAAATGTCAAACGATTTTATGCGATTCTACATCACGATTCGTTGCAATCAGCAATTTTTGCCAAAAATTCTCAAATCTTCTACGGTTTCTAGGTGTCCTGTCTTTCTGCGCATCGGAGGCCTGCATGGATTGACTTTTCTGACTTGAGCTCGATCGGCCCCATTCGAATTGTGGCCCGCAACCGACCTGGAATGCGATCGTTCGCCGAGCTTTGCTGCTCCGAGCCGCGAATCGTGTTGAACTGACAGGGCTGGCCTGAAGTCCGCTTAAGCCTCTAAGCCTGGGAAATCCCGGCCTCTGATGACGTATTTGCCCCAAGAGGGGACGGAGGGACCCTCGTAAATCTGTGCAGAAACGCGTTTGAGAAGGAACGGTTCAGAATAATGGGAATGCCTTGGAAGATGACAGGGTGGCGAAGGGTGCCTTTGGCATGGCAAACCGTGCAAGTTGTTATATCGAGATATCTGAAATTCATGAAAAATCCCGTTAAAGTCCAGAAAAACCTATTCTTTAGGGATGAGTTATATGATTTCGATGCCCGGCCATCTCTCATACGGCCATATACACAATACGTAAGAGAATAATCTGTCCTTGTCAGGATGTCATTCCGAAGAAACTTCTCCAAGACGGGTAAACGGAAATTCATGAGTGAGATGTCAATGGATAGCATATGACAGAATGCGTTACTCCTTGGATCAAAAGTAAAAAAAATCGTCCTATTTCATGTAATTAAGCCAAATTTCGGCAATAAGGATAGCATTATACTGAACTCCTTCCCGGGTTGTGCTTACACATCATGACCCGCACTCAACCCGAAACTCGATTGCCGAACGGAACTGTCCACTGCCTGCTTTGTCCTCCGTGCTTCAAAACTCGAGGTCTAAGTTTCGCTCACACCCGACCGGAAACTCGATTGTCAACCTCGCTACACTCGCGATGCACTGGTCCCATCGCGCCGATCCACATCCCGGCCAAGCTCAGAATCTTCCCCTATTCTACCAGGTCGGTGTTAAATGTGAACGACGGGTCTTACTTTAAGGTTAAGAAGCTCAAGTCGCTGAGCATTTGCATACGGGCGATTGGAGTTTCCCTAAAAGAAGGAACCCATCCACTTAAAGTTGATTGAAAGCATGTTTGCTTGAAAATTTAAAGTTGCGTTTCTTTAGGATGCTACGAGACGGAACTCAGGATATTGTTACAAAAGGAAAATTGAGAGTCTCTCATGACGAGAACCATCATCCCGCCGTCTATCTGGTTCTTGAGAGTCCCAAATTCCTTCGGTGTGTCTCATTTTTATGTGATAGGTGTCAATTGAAAGGTTATAACTTGGTGGCGATAATTATTGGGTAGAAAGTTCGAAAGTCCAACCATTTTGCCTCCATGTGAACGAATTTTCGGCGATAAGAAGAGCATTGTACTGAATGCCTTCCCGGTCGAAGTGCTTACAATCAACATGGAGAGTACGAAGAATCGTCGACTACGGAAGTTGTTGCTATGGTAAGTGCTTGCTATGATCCTATGTCTCAGTTCGTCGAGTCACAAGTCCTGTCTCCGGTTTGCTTCACGTCAGTTAGCGGCATTCATCAATAGGTACATATTATTATTTTCAATTATGATGTTCCCAAAATGCCACGAAACAGGTGAATAAGTGCATACTATTCTGCTGCGGGATCTACTGAACGTGTGAGAAAGAGAGAGGTTCTGGAGTCAGTCTGTACATGTGCATGAGACACGGTGCGCGAATTCTAGACTAGATAATAAGATCAAACTTGATACTCGAACAGTTCCGATGATGCGGATTTCAGGTACTCCAATTAAACGGAGAGACAAGAAGCTGAAACTTCGTACATCGGTACCTACCGAGATGCGAATTTCGTGGGAGAATTCTACTTTCAGGATGCGTTTCTTGTGGGCATATTTTCGTGGTGGACCTTTCCCAAGAAAATAATTTCATTTCAGGGAATCATGGGAAAAGAATGCTGATACCTTTTTTAATGGGTACCTCCTGTTATGCTGACACGGGATAACATTTAGGGGGTATTTTGGGGGGAAATTCATATTTCTCAAATTTGTTTGGTCGCAGTGAATCTGGGGGCCACGGAAATATTGACTTGAAATTTGGTGCTTAAGTT